CCTCCACCATCGAGGTCTGGCATCCCCGGCCCTGCCTGCTGCAGTCAATTTGGGTAGGGGAGGGGACAGGGTCTCCCCTACCCAACTTGGGTTGAGAACCACTGAGACCATTACATAATGGTGGCAATAAAAATAAAAACATTATTAAAGTTCCCATTAGGCTTGCTTTTGCAATCACGTTTCCAATGAAATGCGGCACTAGGCATAACCAGGCCCGTACACTTCCTTTGCCCACCAGCTCTCTTCCTTTCCATCTTTATGGCCATTGCTCCATGCTGAGGTCCTCACAACCCTACACAAGAATAACAGCTCTCCATCTGTTCTTAGGTTTCTTTCCTACAAGCCATTTTTCACATACCTGCACAATTCATCTTCCCCACATCCCATTTTCTTCATGTCACTCACTCTATCGATGGGGATAAAGTTCAACTCCCCGTGGCTTCTATGACTCACAAATGTGGCTTCACCTGTCCTTATCCATCCTCTCTGTGCCCCTCCCTCTATCCAAACTGCCTTCCTTTTCAAACTCAACATAAACCTTCCGTCTTGCACTGACATGCCGCACTGCAATCTTCTCATTCTCCTGATTACATGGCAGTCATCTTTCAGGAGCTTACATCTTTTGTGGCGCCTTCCCTGACCAGGATCCCTCTTCTCTACATCCATATAAGAGTGAGTTTAAAGTAGAATTAAAAGGAAGCAAGGAAAGGCACATCGTTTAGGGAAAGATGTAGTAAGTTGAATAAAAAACGAAAAATAAACGTCCATATTCTATGTGAAAATGAATCCATGACAGGGCTTTACCGGTTTCACTATTTTCAGGCAGAGATTCATATTCTGAGTGATCCAGAGCCAGAGGCTGGATCATGTCTGCCTGGTCTGGCTCCTGCACGTCTGGTAGTGCTGCATTCTCACGACTCTTGTCACCATCACCACTGGCTTCTGATCCTAAAATTAAGAATTTTACCCAAAGGCAGGGTTAGAAGAATTACTTTCTCTTAAGACAAAATTACTTTCTCTTAAAACTTGCAGTTACTCAACTTTAACAGGACGGTAAAAGATCTCCTGGATCTTAAGTACTGTCACAAACCACAACCTAACAGTAAAAGAACAACTTCTTTAGGACAGATTAAAATGGAAACAAAGGGAAAGACCCAGCCCAGGAACCTGCTCACCACGGCTGCCCCCAACTCACCCTGCCGGCTGTGGTCTGCATGATGGCCGGACGCCTCCTCCCACGCCGCACTCACGTGGTCAGCTGTGCTACTGGCTTCGAGGTGTAACACATGAGTCCCCCATACTTTCGCATTAGGGTTTAGCTCTGAAACCTTAGTTGTTGGTACCTAGGAAGAAATTTGACATACACATTTGTATCCACATTTCAACCAAAGTAATTTTACTTACCAATGCATAATTAAAGCACATCTGTGTTCAGAGAATTTCAGCTACAAAGGCTGAGCCTATTTATTTACACATACCTTTAGGATGAAATCAGTTTCAAAAGTAAAAAACATTGATGCAATCAGAGCTCCATTTAATTCCCTGTGAGATTCTTAAATTTCTCCTAAGCCCTGAGCTCCTGAAGCTGGGACTCAGGCACAGCCCTACTTTCAGGAAGACCCAATGTCTTAACATGCTGTGCAGCTGATAAACAGCCACACTGCTGTTTATAGCTACCCTGCTAATAAAATCACAATGTACAAATTTACAATTCTGAATACAATGTAGTTGCATAAAACTTAAATTATAAAGCTTCAAAAAGTCACATAAGCAAATGGTGTAGAAAGTGAAAGTTGCTCCTGAGAACAGGGGTCTTCTAATGGGGCTACTGTAGGTCCTGAGTGCGCGGAAACATCCACTGAGAATACAGCAAATCTCCCATTTTCCCCAATCACTGTTCCCAATCCTGACAGAACTTCAAAATCACCTTTGGAGATAACAGCTGACCCTGAGGCTTCTGGTCCCACGTCCTGCACACGGCTCTCCCATGGCTGTGGCTGAGATCAACTGTCACAGACAACTGTGTCCTGTGGGCTAAGCCTCACCTGGAAGATGAGATTCCTGGTTCCCACCTGATGGCTGCTGACTCAGCATATATCTTGCCATCAGCAAGGCGCCTGGCACAAACCTGGTGCTCACTGGATCCTCAGCTCATCAGTCACCAACAGTTAAGGGTGCTCATTAAGTTGGACACAGAAAGCACTGCTCAAAACCAACCCGTGGTGGCTTGGTTTATTCAGAGTTAAAGACCAAGTTCTTACCACAGCCACAATGCCAGCCTGTGACCACTGCTCCCAGCTCTGTCCACATCCACGCACACAGACCTCCCTGCTGTCCTGAGCACTTTTGCTCTTGCTGTGCATCCGTCCAGAGACCCTCATGGCCCCCACTGTTATCTCCTCTAGGGATTGGTGGTCTTTTATGACTCACCTGATAAACCCACAACAGTCCCCACTCCCCTGATACTTCTGAGACAAGTCTGACTTTCTTCTGCTTACAAACCTTGAATGGCTCCCCAAAGTCTAAAGAAAAGTCAAATGTCCCGTCCCAGTGGCCACTGCTGTCCAAAGTCTAGGACTAGTTTTGCCACCATTCTTCAACAAACCTACACGGATTACGCACCTTTGCCAACATACCACCAACCTTCATACCATAGCGGAGGAAGTCAGAACTTTTGGAGGAAGCGATAGGGTCCTGGTCCCAGGCACCTCCTAGACAGGGGCTGCAAGCTGGGGCACCCTGTGTGTGGCACAGACAGTGCCCACTTCTGTGGTCCAGACACAGGAAAGAGCTGGAAGGCGCCATCACAAGACACCAAAACAACAGGCGTGCACACACAATTTCAAAAAGTTAGAATAAATCCACACTGGCTCAGGTAATGAGGCTGGCAATAAAACACACTATTTCTGAAACTGACAGTGGAAGGCTGATGTGGTTAAAACAGCAGTGTGTGCTCTGTCCGTGTCTGGGGGGTGGCTCTCAGTCCCTGCTCTTCTAGTCACTGCACAACAAACGAGCACCAGGTCCATAAACTAGATGCTGAAATGAGAGATTATCCAGATTCTTTTTACTTTCGTTAAGTATTGGTAATAGGGCAAAGAACAGGATTCCTTCAAGCAGAAAACAATGATTCTCCAATATTCCTTCTTATACCACATCTAAACTCCCAGTTCATTCTTGGCCTCTGCTTCTTCAAAGGGCTGGTTTGTCTCTTCTCTCTCAACCACCCATCTGTCTGAGAAGCACTCCTGTGTGCTCACCAGCATGCCTGTGCCAGGCCTGTGCTGGGCTAGCAGGTGCCATGGACGGTAAAGCCGACATGAGTTCACGGGGCAGAGTGAAGGTGCAGAAGACCCTGTGGCGCACACACAGCCTTCTCTCTGTCCACATACATGCCTTTCCAACCCACCCATCGTTTTGGATGCGTTTCTCCACTCTCTTTCCCACTCTAACACTTTAGAGACCACCTTTTCTAATTAGACCCACTCTCTTTCTACCCCTCAGCACCACACAACCCAGTGTCCCTGCCTCAGTTAACAGCTCCCCTCATCTCATGCAGACACCACACGTTCTTGAGACTCCTAACATTAACATTCATCTTTTCTAGCCTTAGCATCTTTTGCAGTTGACTGCCCTACATCACCAAAATACACCTTGGGGTCTATTAACAGATTACACAGCATCCTGGAAGTGAAGTGGCTGTGAGCAGGGCTTGAACAGGCATGGCGTGGCTGGAGGGGCTCCCATGTCCTCGTGGCTACAGTGTGCCCATGTTCCTCTGTTCCCGGTGCCAGTCACCACAGGCATTTTGCTCACAGAAGTATCACTGGTACCCAACACAGTTTTGAACTCAGCAGCGAGGTGCTTGAGAAATTCGCAGAATGAATCCATGTTTAATAAAGCCATAACAAAGCCAGGCATGGTGGCTCACGCCTGTAATCCCAGCACTTTGGGAGGCAGAGGTGAGAGGACTGCCTGAGCCCAGGGGTCCAAGACCAGTCTGGGCAACATGGTAAGACCTCGTCTCTACAATAATAATCATAAAACTAGTCGAATGTGGTGGTACACGCCTGTAGTTCCAGCTACTTGGAAGGTTGAGGGGAAAGGATCACCTGAGCCCAGCAGGTTGAGACTGCGGTGGCCGTGAGTGTGCCACTGCACTCCAGCCTGGGTGACACAGTAAGACTCTGACTCAAAAAAATGGATAAATAAAGTAATAACAAAAATTTATATTCTCCACTATTTGTCAACATGTGCAAGGTTTTATGCCACAAATGGATAGGACTCTCCCCTTAAGTATGAGTAAGCCCAAATCAAGTGATAATGGAAAAAAAAGACACACTCCAAGTAAGCACGTACTACTACTAGTTTCACTAAAAAGTTTTAGTAATTCAGAGCAATTCATTGACTTCAGAGCCACACAAGTATCTACCTCTGCTTCTTTATTTGGAATGACAGCTGCCATATAAGATTTGGTGGCCAGGCACGGGAGCTCATGCCTGTAATCCCAGCATTTTAGGAGGCTGAGGTCGGAAGATAGCTTGAGTCTAGGAGTTCAAGGCCAGCCTGGGCAACACAGCCAGACTTCATTGCTACAAAAAATAAATTAGAAAGCAAAAAGAAGAAGAAAATGTCTGTAATAGCACTTTGAAAACTGAAGTTTTGAAAAGCAACCCCTTTGGGTCCCCTCCCACTGTGGGAGCTTTTCTGTCCTCTCAATAAATCCTGCAAAAAAAAAAGAAACAAAAAAAGAAAAGCAAGACACCATCAATAAATGTCGCAATGCCTCATATTAAAATATTGTTTGGACAAAGCTCATAATTATAATGCTAATTTAAAACAGTAAGCACATATCTCACTGAAAGTCGTGCAGATCAAGACAGCAAAAGGAATCGTTTATACTCTGTATTGATGCTCCCAGCAGTGACATTAGTAGCCAACTGCTTATTATACCCACTTATGTCAAATATTATATGCATAGTATGTTAAAGGTCTAATTTTGTAATGTTTGGCCTACTCAAGCAAAACTAATTTCCTGTTGCAGAATAATGTTTGCATTTATTACAGAATTTCAAGAAAGACACTCAAACTAGCTGACCACAGAATCATTTGCTCTCTTCCAAACCAGAGGGGCAGTTCTATCTCAGAACTCTGACCCCAAGAAGACAGAACAACGGTTTTCATGCCAGTCAAAAGCAGCTAATCTTACCTGCTTTAGACACATACAAAGTACCAGAAGGCACAGACTTCAAATGGGTTTATACTCTGCCGTGTGACTTACACATTTGACGCCTCCTGTGCCTGCCTGCTGAAGCACACACTGCCCACATGACAAGATCCCATGAAGAGCTCTAAGCACGCGGCAGCTGCAGCAAGGAAGACAGAGCAGCTGGCAAAACCCATGGACAGTTATAGGGTCTCTACAAAGCTGTGCGGGACAACCAGCAGGGCATGCTTTAGCACTAACAGGAGTCTGCACACAAGCCCTGGCTTAAATACACCCAACAGAGAATTCGGGGTCTCCAATTTGGAAGTTGTCAACTTGACGTCATAATTCACAGCCTTATATGAGCAATCAAACAACTGCTCACAGTTTAGAATAAAACTTCATTGATTTTAAGTTAAAAATCAAGATGTAAAGACCAGCATATCACAGCACAATAATAAACACAGGTGAAACATACTTACCAGCTGTCCACCTCTATTTGGCCATTCCCAAATAACACCATCTTCTGACTCTGGTAGCTGAAAAGGGGTCTTTTCCAGGGAATGTGAAACAATGTCCATGTTCTGTGGCTTACTGTGTGGACCCTCACTAAATATTTGCTCATCTTCTATTGCATCTTTTATGACTCTATTTGTCCAGAGATAACCTACTTGGTATCCACCACAACCACTGGTCAATCTTTCAGTAAATATCAGATCTGCTAACCCTCCCATGGAGCAATAGGAAAATTCATTCAAAAAGTGGGACAGTTCTGGCAAACTCTGCCATTCCACTTTTGAGGGATGTTCAGAGGTATTTAAGACACCTTCTACGAATGAGAAAACATGGTCACCACTTAGCACTGCAATGTCTTTGGCTGCTGAAATGACAGGGACCACCTGGGAAGCATCATAAGTGGTGGCCGTGTATCTGTCCACCTGGCTGGAGTCAACACCAACCAAACAAGAACTCCCATCAGAAGTGTCACATAACTCTGTCTGTTCAAAATTCACCTTCGAGTTTCTCACAAAATCCATTTCATCATTTAAAGTAGACTCTTTAATGGTAGACTTGGTCTTTCTTTCTTTGAAATAATATGCACATTCATTTGTCCAACATGGGCTTAGGAAGTCAATA